GCGGCCGTTGTGGGGAAGGAGGCGGCCAGGGCAGGCAGTCATATTCTCGCAGATGTAGCTAGCGGTGATAATTTTAAAGAGAGTGCCCTGCGACACGGTGGCGAGGCAGTACAAAACCTTAAGCGGAAGGCAGCTAGCACCATGAGTGGGTCTGGAGCTATAAAAAGAAGGAAGCGAGCTCCTAAGCATCATTCGGTCAGACGAACCCGTACTAAACGGTTGCCCCCTGATTATTTCTCGTAGTGGCTTTCATGCATAGTTCATCAGCGGAGGCGCTTCCCTCCTCACTTGATCTCTTTCGGAGTGAGGTGACGCAGTCCGCGGAAGAAAAAAGTCAAGAGCAGGAGTATAGGGCCACTTCTTCCAGTCTCGATTCGGGTACGGTAGAAGTAGAAGTCCAAGGCGTAGGCCATGCTTATCTTGATCTAGCACTCATGTATCTTTACACAAAACAAAAAATTGTAAACGAAGATGGCTCAGACATTACAGCAGCAGACCAAAGCGATGCCACAGTTGTTAATTATGCTCTCCATGCAATGTGGTCACAAATCGACACGAGCATTAACGGGACTGTTATTTCACAGTCCAGCATGACTTATCCCTATCGTGCCTACATCGAAGCATTGCTTAATTACGATAAAAGTGCAAAGAACACCCATCTCCAACAACGCATGTGGTACGAGGATACACCCGGTCACTTTGACTCGCTTGACGGGGCCGAAAATCTTGGTCTGGCAGCGCGCCGTGCACGTACGGCAAACAGCAAGGTATTCGAGATGTATGGACCTCTTCACCTCGACATTGCTAACTCGAACCGCCTACTTTTGAACAACTGTACCCTGAGGCTCAAACTCACTCGCAGCAGTGACGCATTCGTTCTCATGTCCACTAAGGGCACAGAGAAACTGAAGCTCTTGGACCTCAAACTCGTTGTTCGCAAGGTCACAATTTCACCCTCAGTCCTACTGGCACACGCCCAAGTTTTGGAAAAGACGCCCGCTAAATATCCACTCACCCGTGTTGTCATTAAAACCATTACAATCGGCCAGGGCCTGAGAGATAAAACGATTGATAACATCTTGCTTAATCAGATGTCCCAAAGAATCATTGTATTTATGGTTGACAATCGTGCATTCAATGGGGATTTCAAACGCAATCCTTTTCATATCCCACATTTCCATGTGAATCACATACAGTTGAAGAATGATGGAGAGAATGTTCCATCTCAGCCACTGACACCTGATTTCCCTAGCGATCTCTATATTGAGGCATACAACACGCTGTTTAGTGGAACAGGTATCCATTGGAAAGATGAGGGGAACAATATTAGCTGGAAAGACTACGCGAGAGGCAATACGATTTATGCTTTCGATCTAACACCCGATCTCTCAGCCAGTCAGCCACATTGGAACCTGCAGAGACATGGTTCACTCCGTCTCGATATCCGATTTGCGGCACCTCTTGCAAGCCCTATAAATTGCATCGTGTTTGCTGAATTTTAATCACTACTCCAAATAGATAAGGACCGTAATGTTATCGTTGACTACAACGTGTAAAATATGGACGGACTTACTCTCGACACTCTGATGCGACGTGACAAGCATGTATCCCCTCTGTTTAAGGGTGTTTTTGCAGCTGATACTCTACCGCGCACTCTGCACAGTCGTCCTGCTCTCCTTATTTGCAATACTGACCCTATATCCAAGCCAGGGCAACACTGGGTCGCGTTTTACATTGATAAACACGGTGTAGGCGAATACTGGGACTCGTATGGTTTTCCACCCCTCGTGCCGCATCACAAAAAATTTCTAAACAGACTTTGTAGAAAATGGACATACAATCACAACAGTCTACAGGCTATTGATTCTATGGTGTGTGGAGAATACTGCGTACTGTATCTTGTACACAGAGC